CGAAGAAAAGTTGGCATAAAAAAAGAAAGCTTAAGCAGTCGGAGGGGTACATCAGCATCAGCAGTCGCATCCTTCTAGTCCCCAGTCGGCCACTGTTCTTTTCCATTAACCTCCCCCTCCTTCTCCTCTCCCTGGTCCGACTCCCCTGAAGCAGAATCTGACGACTCCTCTTCCTCTCCCTCGTCCTCTTGGGCTTGGTTGAGTGATTTTTCATTGTATTCCTTGGAGGAGTTGGCAAACTGATTCTCCCAGTTCTCATAGCTGGTCTCTGGGTAGAGAGCCCCCCATGTCATCTTCATGACGACGTTGTTCTCGTCCATCATTTCCTTGACCAGGGCCTCCTTTTCTTCATCAGCCCTTGAGAGGTACTTCTGGCAAGCTGGGTCTCCTGGTTCTGCAGGCGGAGTTTGAGCTTGTCCACCCTAGTGCGAGGGTCGGTTGCTTCTTGGTCCGCCTCCCTCAGAGCTCGAGCTCAGCCTTGAGGTCTTTAACGGACGACTCCAACTCAGAGATCCTCTTCTTGGCCTCCTCTGAGTCCGCTTTGACCTGCAAATTGGCAGCCGCCTGACAATACAGTATGTCAGTATCAGAAGTTCATTTTGAGCAATCTGGAACATAGCTTTGTCAGAAACAGAGGCGGCCCGAGCCTTCGCATCCTTTACCTCTTTGGTCTTCTCGCTTATGGGCCTACGAAGACCGTGTACTCGCAACATAAACTGCACTCGGCCAAAAAAAGACGTCAGATACAGGCGGCTAACAAATTATATAGACAAACAAAATTTTTGCAAGTATACCTCAGCGAGAAGAGCGAGGATGGCATCCAGGTTGAGGGTGCTGACTCCTCTGACCAACTCCCTGTCCTCAAGGGAGACGACTTTCAGCATGGACTTGGCCAGGTGGACAAGATCCAGCCTTTGAGAGATATATGCACAATCAATTCCCTGTAAGTACTTGGTGTAAATTCGGCCAATAGACCGACTGCTCTCAGAGGTGCTAGACGACTGCTGATTGAATTTGACCCTCAAAGGGTAAGGGAAAGGAAACAAGTCTTTGATACCTTCAGCAGTCGCCTGCTTCTCCTTCTCCTTCTCAGGCCGACTGCCAACAGGGATGGCTGGAGATTTTGGAGGTGGGTTGCTCCCTAGCCTTGAGGCCACATGTTTCCTGGCTCTCCCAAGGGTCGCTATGTCACCAGCCGTCTGTTTCCTAATTTTAGGATCCGGCTGGGAGGAGGAGGAAGGCTTTGCTAAGTTGCCCTGCAAAAATAACCACAATAAGTAAGAAACAGGTGGCAGAAAAGCTAAAATGAGATTTGTTCAAATTTGAAAGTTCACCTTGGGTGCCTGTATAGTAGGCGACTCTTCAGTTGACCGCTTACCCAAGATAGCCAAGCGGTACTGGGCAGCAGCTTTCTTTGAGGCCGAGAGCTTTTCCATGGATTTGTCTCCAAAAGATGAATCAAGGAGTTAGTTCAACTCAAAATTAATCAAGTTTTACAAGACACTTGAACAGGCGGTCAGCTACCTCTCGACATCTCTTCACTAAGGCCACAGGCAGCCAGATATGTCCCATCGTATAACCAGTTATACTTGGGAATATAATTTTGAGGAATGAACTCCCTCGCCCCAGTCTCGGGGTTCGCCTGGATGTCTACTTTGAAGAGCCCTCTGTCAAGGATCTCTTCTTTTGCTTTACGGGGAACAGGCGGCAGCTCAGAACCGCCTGTTAGGAAAGGTGGGTTCCTGTTCCACCTGTTGAATTTTTTGTTCCTGACACAATGTAGAAAGTGTTCTTCCAATATTTCCACTTGTTCTCCTTCCCACAGTCATCATATAGCCCTTGTGGCTAGACAGCTGATACCAGCCGGTCCCGCTTATCTTCGGGGTCCGGCTGAGGTAGTGTATATGAGCGAATGCTTCAAAGCTTGACTCTACCTCATGCATTTCATAGCCGGCAACATAGCCCAAGATGTTGAACCAAGAGTTTGGGGCTAGTTGCCATACACCTAGCTCGTATCAGTCTAAATTATTCTCCACAGCCGGATGTAGAGGAAATCCAAGGCCAACCTTAATAGCCGCCTCATAGTAGCCAAAACATGCATCCCTGTAGCTGGACTGCTCGTGCCAGACTACAATGTCCTCGGCATCCGGCGTGCATAGGACATAACTATGCCCCATGACATGGTCAGCTCTGAAGCTCCCAATTTTTTTCGCTATCATTCCGCCTGCCTGCGGGAACATGATGATAGCAGGCTGCCTATTGCTCTCGGTTGGAGGCAGACGGCTCCGCCTAGTTTGCTCCCAATTCTACTGAGAGGGACTCTCGCGCAGTCTCTAGCCGAGAGTGCCTCTCTTCAGATTCATGCGAAAATTTGGTGGAAGTGCTTGGCTCAGAGTCGTTGTCTGAGCTCTCGGATGTGGTGTCCGCCTGGTGGGCTAGATCAACAAAGCCCGACATATCATTTTGAACCTCCTCCCCTGATTCTTCTAAAATGGAATCATTGGGAGTGCTTGGGGCACAAGGCGGCACGTCAGACAATCCATTGACAGACGCGTAGAAGGAAAAGCCGTCAGAATTTGTCACCCTTGCGGTTCTCTTTATTCTGGCCATGGTTTCCTACACAGACACATAGATAGTCGGACTTGGGGCAGTTCGCAAAGGGTGATTCAGCGAGGGGCAGTCGGCTCTGTTAGTTCTAGATTCAGCCGTCCCCGGTGACCGGCTGATCACTAACCTAGGTCATGCCGTGTGCTTTTGGGAAACCATTTTCAAAAAGAAAGAGAAAAAAAGAGAAAGTACAAAAGAAAAATAGGCGGTTACCTTTAGTTGGTGAAGATGAAGGTGCTTGAAAGTCTGCAGCGGCTGTGAGAGCAGGCGATAGTCGCTCTTTCTCAGAAAAAGACAAAGTTCTCAAAAGATTCTTTCTGGAATTTTTGGGAATGTCCAAGTAAATGATTTGGACATCCCCTATTTATAGGGGGGTGAATTTCAAGGGGCAGTGAAAAAAAAAAACGGTAAAAACCGTTGGCCAATCAGGTAGTGACATCTGTCACAGGCGCCACGTGGCAAGCCACGTCACCCCTGTGGTGGGCAAATGATTAGGAGTTTTTTTACCCGCCACGTAAACCAATGGAGCTCTGCCGCGTGTCTTCCAAGTGGACCAACCAGAGCCCGCCACGTGTTACCTCGTGAGAGGTCCAAGGCGGACCAATCAGGCCACGACACGTGGCAGGCAGATTGCCAACTTGGAAAGTGGCCTTATATGGCCCAACTACCTAGGCAAGCCCAGTCAGTCATAGGTTTCTGAAAACCTAGTACTGGGCACACATTTCAAGACCTTATAAAAGGGGGATGATCCCTCTGAGGAACATCATTCAGAAATTCCCAAACACACATGTACATTGATTGTTGTGCATTAACCCCAGCATTAATTGCACTCTTTGAGAGCTATGGCTCGGATATTGAGACTGTCTCAGACAGTCGGATGATCACTCCCCCTCCGAGAGGAGCCTGATTCCCTTTACTTTCTGCATCTTTACTTCCGAACATATTCTAACTTGATCGTCGGAGGCGGAACTCCCACCCACAGGAATCTTCGTTGTTTTACAGGTACAGGCGTCCAGAGGTCAGTCTTGGTGTTGTAACTCTCTTTCAGGACATCCAAAAAACCCCGAAACATATATATTTAATAATTTTGATGAGAAACTCACTATATTTATTAAGGCTACTTTTTTCATGGAATATACTCATATAGTAATTGTTAGAATTTTACTGACCTTGTTTTTTTTTTTTTTTTTGTGTGTTTAGATTGAGAATCAATTTCAGGATCTCCCGAAACAAAGAAGGATGCTCTAACTAATTGAGTTATACTTTACTCTCTTATTGACCTTAGTTTTAATACTCTTATTATCATTGTCACTGTTCACTGTTGTAATAATTTCTTTGTATTATTCTTATAATAATCTATAATATAATCTATGTTTTTTAAGTGCTCCATTAATTTTGACTGGACATACATTGATACATGTATGCAGGCATGCTGTGCAAGAAATCGATCAATAATAGACTTCCTATTATAATTATCAGTAATTTACATTATAAAATTTTACAAATTGAATATTCTTAAAATATTTATTGTGGTGGCAATTTCAACAAGTACACACAATGACACAAGAGTGACAAGACTATATTTTTTTCTTCTAATAAAGACTTAAAGAGTAGTAGCGTGGATGGACGCCAAGTCGCCAAGTACACTTACTCGCACTGTGAACTTTTCATAACCGATTCGATCAGATATATGTTATGACATGCTTCGTTTGAAATTAAATTTACTGATAAATTGCAAATTAGGAGGTCAAACCAGCCAACATATACTCAATTTTATTTTTATGACCGATTAAATCAAAAACAGATTATAACATGCTTCATTTGATAAAATTTTTATTGATAATTAGGAATTCAAACAAGTCAACTTAAACTCGGTTGTAATTAGTTCTTAAAATTACATGCTTTAATGTATAATAACATATGTGATCAAGTACTTAAACATAAGGGTGGAAAACGACACAAAATTTCATTATAAAGTTGATCAACAACATTATTGTAAACCTATCCGATTCCAATTAATTTTTTGCAAACGAAACTCATAACAAGGTTTTTCCTATTCAAGGTAATTTGATCTCAAATTCAAACTTGATAAGATTAGATTAAACCTTTTTCGTGCTACTTAATAGCTCAGTCTCCGGCTCTCCGGTCTAAATTACTTCATAAGTTCATAGGGTGTCTCATCACTATTAGAGCATTAGTATATTATGAACTAATGAATTATGAAGTATTGTAGTTATGCAAATATGCTTGTATCTATCTAATACTCAATTAAACAACTAAACTAATGTAATAAATGAATATTACTTTTTGATTGAACATAAGATCATTATCGTGCATTATATATTGATGTTTATATTTATAAAAACAAAAATTTATTCAGTTGTAAACTTATAATGACTGAGTGTTGGGTAATTGGTGCATAACACAATATGATACTTCCTCCGTTACTTTTTAGTTGACACGTTTCTTTAGTCACATTTGCTAATGCATAACTTCAGCCATTTATATCCTTAATCACCGATAATAAAAAATTATGAAAAGTTGATATTTTGAAAATAAATATCGTGACGAATGTTACAAGATCCTACATGACTATATTTTTCATTACATATAAAACACAAAATACGGTTAAAGAGGAGTGTGTGAATAAAGTCAAAATATGTCAACTAAAAAAAACGGAGGTATTATTAATTAAGTGAAATATTCTCATATTCAGATGTAAGATTATGAACACATTTGTTGATCAATTAAAAATTTTCAAAATTTCAATTTTAACAAAGTTACAACTTAGAAGTAAAAATTTAAGAGGGAAACAAAAATAAAACATTTAACTTGGTTAAAAATTGTGGGAAATTCTTCCCCCCCCAAATGGCTAAAACTCCAAAATTATTAGCGGGAATACTCCCTCCAAATTTCCAAGAGTAAAAGTAAAGTGACTAAATTCTAAAATACAAAAAAAATAAATAAAAGTAAAACAATAAGGAAAAAAAAAACCTAATTACGAATTTATGATCTTTAATTTAAAAAAAAAATAAGAAAAAAAAAAACCTACAGCCCTAAATCTTCCTCAGCCGTTTTCACTCTCTCTTTTGTCTTCACTCTTCTGACTTCTCTAATCTTATGCTACTCATCTGATCTCAAGCGCTCCGGCAAGGCAAGGTTTCCTTCTTTCTATCTTCCTCTTCTTTAGTGTGGTTTTTTGTTTCAAATTTTATGATTTTCAATTCAAGTTTTGTGATTGATTGATGTTAATATGATACTTTGAGATTAAGTTTTGATTTTGCAATTTTTTTCACTTATAAGAAGCCAATTCACGAGCTTCTTGTACTTGAGGTGCGCTTAATTTGATTTGCATGTGATTCTCCATTCCCTCAGTTGAAGCGCGCCTTCTGAGCTTTCTTTCCTCCATTGAAGCCAACCATTTAGGTAAAGATTTTCTCCATTCCCAATTGCTTTTGCCTGTTTTTTCTATTTGTTATAGATCTTGTCACTCATCCTATTACATGTTGTTATACTCTACTTCAACACTTTTTCTTCTCTCTGCTGTTTTTTTGGGAAAGTAAAAATGTTGGACCCTTGTGACTTTCTCATATTAAAGTTGAAGAAAAACTAAGAAGCACTTCTGTAAAACCACACCACCTGAGTTTAAATAATTTTAGCAGGTCATTATATGAAATTACTAGTTATAATACCTGGTTATTTGGCAGTTAACTTATATTTCCCTTCTGTTTACTTTATTTTTTCTGTCAATTACTGTTTTTTTTTTTTTTTTTTTTTTATGATTATAAGTAGTTGTTATTAAGATTATAAGTTAAGTTTATGCTATAATTTAAGTAGTTGTTATTAAGATTACAAGTTAAGTTTATGTTGTTTTGTTTGGTGATGTGTTTTATGGTTTGTTGTTGACTTGTTGTGTTGAATTCAGGAATATGACGAGGACCCTAAACTAGATCGGAAAGCGGAGCTTGACATATTAGCTTTTTGGAAAGAAAATGAGCATCGATATAAAGACCTTTCTCATTTGGCTAGAGATATTTTGGCCGTGCCCCTGACAACCGTCGCTTCCGAATCAACTTTCAGCATCTGGAGTCGAGTATTGAATAAATGGAAAAGTTCATCAATTCCTGAAAAATTGGAGGCTTTAATAACAACTCGTAATTGGATGTACTCTTTTGAAAGTAAGTATTTTATTATATTTTTTAAAAATATGTATGTTCATATTCCTGCATTCTTGTTTAGAGCTGTACATTCTTGTTTCTTTATTTTTGCATTTATAGTGTATTTGCTTATATTATTGTTTTTATATATATGTAGCAAATGAGGATGATGAATTTTTTGGTTCTTATGTGGATTGGGTGGCGGCTCCAAGTGTTAATTGTCAACAATTTTAAGAGTCAAATATTGGAGTATAATTATTTAGAATATTTTGTAATTTCATTTGGTATTGAACATTATGTACGCATTATTATTGTACTATTTTTTTTTTCTAGACTTGTGAGAATTGTGACTTTTATTTTAAGGTTTAGTAAATTTTTCTCAATCTTATGGACAAACTCTGTAGAATAGTCGTTAAATTTCAATCTTTTTACGAATTTTTAATAACTTATAAAGAGAAAAGGCCAAAGAAATCGAGAAAAGTAATGCTCAAAATATGAAAATTACTTACACTGTTACACATTACAAATTAAAAAAAAAAAAATTAAGTTAGTTTGATTGCGGTTATTTTCTATTTCGGTTTGCTCAGGTCAAATCGTTAGCTTAAATAGATTCTGGTCATTTCAGGTATAAGGTAATCTTAGTTCGGGTCACTTTGGGTTTCGAGTCTATTTGGTTCAATTAGTTCAAGTTAAAGGTCCGGTCACTTTGGGTATCGGGTCAACTTCGGGTCGGGTCAAGTTCGGGTCTCGGGTCACGGGTCAACTTTGGGTTGGGTCATTTCGGGTCTCGGGTCAACTTCGGGTCGGGTCATTTTGGGTCGGGTTGTTTCGGGTTTCGAGTCAAGGTCGGGTCAATTCCACTTCAGGTCGGGTATGGTCGGGTCGGGTTGATTTTGGGTTTCGGGTTGATTTCGGGTCACTGTTTTTGGGTCGATTTCGGGTCATGGGTCGGGTCATTCAGGTCAGGTCATCGGGCTTGGGTCAGGATTGCCAAGTCTAATGGGCGGATTAGGGAAGAGGGTCTATATAAATAGACATTTAGGGTTATGGTCCCTAGTAGTACATACAATAGACTCTCAGTTATATCCCATCAATAGAGAGAAAACCCTAGAGTATGTATCTTCTAGAAGACGCATAATCATAAAGGAGTTTGATTAATTGTCATAAAATCAGGTACGCTTCCGCTATTAAGATTTACCGATTAATTTGATATGAGATTTAAATTTATTATAGGAATTAATCCTAACAAGTGGTATCATGAGCCTCCTTCATATCGGATTAGTCGGTTAATTTCATTCCGTTAGTTTTGGTTTAATCGTATAATTGGATACGATTTATCATGAAGCTATTGCGTCTTGTTATTAATTAAATTCATGTGGCCGTTATTTCGTGTATTTTGTTGAAACGAAGTACTGTATGTATGTGTTAATAGAATATTTTCGTTTCAACTAATTCGTCTTATATGAATTATTTTTGGTGAACGGTGCTTGGTAATCTGATATGTTATCTCGTCATTCGTCGTTTGATTAATACAATGATAATGATATGCATTTTGTTTTTTTATGAAATTAATTTCATAACAATTGTTGTTTCGTTGAATAAAGTTGACATATATTATCATTGCAACTTTAGGTTAATTTTGTCTGATATCCTATATCAGACACGTGCTACGTATTGTGCTAGTAGTTGTCATTGATCCCTTAATTGAATTCTTGAGTATGCGACTAATTGTAATATTAATATATATATTTGTTTCAGTTTAATTTATATCAAAGTATGATTAATTACATGTCTTAAGGTTAAATTAGATTTACATATTTGACATTTAGGCAAAAATAATAACGAGTCTCATATTTTGGGTTTATTAGTTGAGACAATATGGTACCAAAGTAACCTCTTTTGTGTAGATTAATTTATTTGAAATATTGAGATGTGTGTGTGTTTGATTTTCATGCGGATAATGGTCGGCCCAAAGGAAGGCTATTATTTGGCCGGAAATTAAACATGCTTGTGGTAATAAATATGTAACAATTATAAGGTTTTCTATGTGAATGTTAAGTCGGTCCAAAGAAAGGCTTAATGTTTGACAGAATTTTATTGTTAATATTTGATTACTACACCAAGAGGACCACTTACAAGTTAATTTTTTTATCCAAAGACTAAAAATTAATGTTGTGCTAGGTCTCTTGTGATGAGATGTGTTGTCATTATTTTAATATGATAATTAAAGTTGAATTTTTGAATTAATCGTGAGCTTGTTTTGTTTGTTTGTGTTCTCTTCAGTGAATGCTTCTGCTAATATAATATCTGCCAATATTAATACTATACCCATGCTTGATGGGACAAACTTTAAGAGTTGGAAAGAGAACGTTATGATCGTTCTTGGTTGCATGGATCTAGACCTTGCTCTTCGGGTAGAGCGCCCCATTGCTCTTACGGATTCTAGTTCCTCTGTTGAAAAGGGGAATATGGAGAAGTGGGAACGCTCAAATCGCATGAGTCTTATGATCATGAAACGTGCAATTCCAGAATCATTCAGGGGCACTATGTCCGAAGAGGATGATGCCAAATCGTTCCTTACAAAACTTGAAAAGCTTTTTGATAAAAATGAAAAGGCAGAAATAAGTACTCTCTTGAGTAGTCTTGTTTTCCAAAAGTATGAAGGAACAGGGAACATAAGGGAGTACATTATGGAAATGTCTCATATTGCTTCAAAATTAAAGGCACTAAAGTAAGAGCTGTCTGATGACTTGCTCGTGCATTTGGTTTTGATATCTCTTTCTAAACAGTTCAGTCAGTTTAAGGTCAGTTATAACTGTCAAAAGGAGAAATGGACTCTAAATGAGCTCATTTCTCATTGTGTTCAAGAAGAAGAGAGATTGAAGCAAGAAAAGACAAAAAGTGCTCACTTGACATCTTCCTCTAAGGATGGCAAGAAAAGGAAGAAGGGTAAGGATGCGGTTTCGCAACCATAAAAGAAGCAACATAAGGAAGATAAGGATGAAACTAAAGCATCTGGATGCTTCTTCAGTGGTGGGATGACTCACTAGAAGAAACAAGGCACTAAGTACCACGCATGGTGTGCGAAAAGGGTATGTTTCTTTCTTTGTTTGTTCTAAGGTTAATTTAATTTTGGTACCTAAACACACTTGGTGGCTAGATTCTGGTGCTACTATTCACATAAGTGTGTCCTTGCAGGGTTGCCTGAATTGCCGAAAACCAAGTGATGGTGAAAGATACATCTTTGTGGGTGATGGCAAGGCAGTTGAAGTTGAAGCTATAGGCATTTTTAGGTTGTCATTAAAGACTGGATATCATTTGGATTTGAAAAAGACTTTTGTTGTACCGTCTTTTAGGCGGAATTTGATTTCTATTTCTATATTGGACAAATCTGGTTATCTTTGTTCTTTTGGAAACAATAAAGTTAGTTTTTTTTTTTATAATTTAAAATTAGTTGGATCTGGTTCTTTATCTGGATTTGATAACCTATATTTGTTGGATACTATTGCTTCATCTAATGAAAATTTGCATGTCAGTTTTAGTGGTACTAAAAGAAAATTAGCAAATGAGAATTCTTCATCACTTTGACACAAACGTTCAGGGTGTAGGGTTTCGTAGTGACCCGACACTACGCGGAAGGAAACCCACCAAGACCCGCCCCTTAATTACAACAATTAACAAGCATATTAAACTTAATCAAACAAGATTAAGAACAAGAATTATACCTTTGACGCGTGCTTCGCTCCCAAAGAGCTCTTACTTCAAAATCTCGAAAACACGAGATCTCTGAAGAATCGTACCCTCGATCTGACCCGAGCGTCCTAAGTCTTGAAGGTTAGTCAAGACCCGGACAAAATAACTGTGAGTTTTACGAATCAAAGGTTTACTCTTACTTAGAGTTTCCTTTTTAATTCCACTCAAGGTTGTATTCTCAAAATCCCAACAATTGCAATCATTTATTTCATTCCAAAATAAATAATTAGGCAAAAGCAATCACAAGGCAACAAGTGGTAAGAGGAGAGAATGGGTTAGGTGAGGACCATATCCCATGGGGGGACCATTGCCTTGCTCCCCAAGGGAAGCCTAGAGGCTTTGGTCCCCACCTCTCCTAAACCGCCACTCACAAAGGCACCTGGGCTGGCTGCCAGCTAGTACTGCCAGCATGCCCAGCCAGCTAGCACCAGCCAGCAGCCTCGCATCCCAGCCAGGCAGTGCTGCTTGGTGCTAGGCGATGCTTGGCGCTGGTGTGTGCTTGCGCTGGCCCCAGCATCCCTCGCACATACGCACACACCTCACGCATCCAGCATGCATGCTGTTAGCGAGCCACGCATGCTGGCCCCCTTTGTCTCGCACCATTAGCACACACCTTCACAGCATATCTCGCATATGCACTAGCCACGCACCATGCGCACTAGTCATGCACATCGTGCATTGGCCTCGCACCACACGCACACCCACGCATCACACAGCAGCCTTGGTGCGTGGTGATGCTGGGCTGCTGTGCGTGGCCTAGCAATACGCTGGCGCCCAGGCCCTCGCATATGCATGGTGCGCTGCTTGGTGCTGCCATGCGAAGGCTAGTACACAAGCCAGCACGCATGATGCGCCAATGCTGGCCAGGCACCCATGCTAGCACTTGGTGCCAGCGATGGTGCTGCCATGCCAGGCACGCATGCACGTAGCACCCAGTGCCTGCGATGGTGCGCCTGGTGCCTGCAATGGGCAGCGATGGTGCCCAGCCTCATGCTAGGGCTGCGATAACTGCGATGGGTTGCTCGGTGCGCCTGGTGTGCCTATTGCTTGCGATAGGCTGCCAAGCTGCACCTAGGCTGCGATGAGCATATCTAGTGTGCTTAGGCGTGCGCCTAGCACATCTAGTGTGCTTAGGCGTGCGCCTAGCACATCTAGTGTGCTTAGGCGTGCGCCTAGCACATCTAGTGTGCTTAGGCGTGCGCCTAGCACATCTAGTGTGCTTAGGCGTGCGCCTAGCCATGCTAGGTGCATGCAAGCCAGAACTAGCCTAGAATCCACATGGCTAGGCCAGTGTGGTGCTAGGGCTATGATCGTACTTGTTGCTTTGTGATTTTGCGACACTCGGTTTCGACGCCCTAGGCTCGATATCCGACGTTTGTATTCGTAAAATTCTGATGACTCATTAAATCCTTTCGGATTAATTCGTCGTCTCGGATCGGTGATTCGATTGGGTTCGACCCGAAGGGTTGAGTTAAGATTAAGCTGTAACATCAATTGTACATTAATATTACTGATCGAAAGCGGCCTCCACCTAGGCATTCCGATCACTTGACCTTACAGAAGAATTAGCTCCGTAATAATTCTGAACCCTCTATCGGAAGAATACACTTGTTGGAAGGACACCATTCCTTTCAATCTCCCACTTGTCCTTCCGGACAAGTGTGCATACAATATATAGCTCATTTCCTATGTCACTTAATGTTTCTTCGTGAACTATAAGGTAAGATTCTTTGTCATCCTTATTACGTTCAGAAGTGTTTCTCGATATCCGAGTTCGGCTGTCCATAAGCAGATGATTTTTAAAATACATCTGAGCTCGACCATTCATTTTCACAGTCTCTCTCTTCGAGCGGCCTTGTAAACAACAAAACATTTTCCCTATTGTTAGTAGGGGGACAATCCCAATCTTGTATTGTAAGTTCTTCTTACTAAGAGGACATAGTCTCCTGAGTGTTCCTGTTATGATCCCCAGTTACGACAGACGTTTGGAAACATCGAAGAGTCTAGTACTCAAACAAGAAAACTTCACAGTACTCATGGTCGGAGGAAACAAGTTCCGATAGTCATAATGAGAAATGTACTTATGACAAAATTTAAATTTTTCTTAAAGTACTCTCATAGGTCTTATCCAGTACAGTTCCAAACTGTGCCTGTGTAAATGATTTATGACCGTCACGTCCTCGCAGCACAAGAAACGGTGTTGTAAATCATACTACACACTAATCTATGGCAGTCATCAATCGTCCATCTGTTAGATGACCTCGATTAGGGATAATTTTTGATTTAAATATTCAATGTTCACTTAAACAGGTGTTTCTTTATCCAAGACATGGTCTTGATACCCTGTTTTGAATATTTCCGTAAATCGAATGAACTCTTTATTTAATTCTAAAACACAATTAAATAGTAATGGAGTGAATGATAATTTTGCACAAAAATTAATTACTCCATTAATGAATGGTTTTAATACAGTGTCTTACATTAAATATCCTATTTAATTAAAACACATGTACAAGGAATTTCAAAGGCAGTCTCCAACATGCTTGATTCCCATCGCCTCAATGTGCTTGTTGTGTTTCACTTGAGGCAGCGGTTTAGTCAAAGGATCGGCTACATTATCATCCGTGCCAATCTTACAAATTCTGATTTCACCTTCGGATTTCCATTCCCTTATCATGTGAAATCGCCTTTGCACGTGTTTGACCTTCTAGTACTCTCTCGGCTCCCTGGCCTGAGCGATAGCTCCATTGTTATCACAATAGAGGTCTATTGGCCCCTTGATTGAGGGTACAACACCAAGTTCGCTAATGAACTTGCGAATCCAAACAGCTTCCTTGGCAGCTTCTAAAGCGGCCAAGTACTCGGCTTCAGTTGTAGAGTCTGCAGTGGTGCTCTGCTTGGCACTCTTCCAGCTAAACGCTCCTCCATTTAGACAGAATATGTACCCCGACTGTGACTTGAAGTCGTCTCTGTCAGTCTGGAAGCTAGCGTCGGTGTAACCTTCAACAACCAGTTCTTTGTGGCCTCCATACACCAAGAATTTATCCTTGTTCCTTTTCAGGTACTTAAGGATGTTCTTGGCCGTAGTCCAATGCGCCTCTCCTGGGTTCGATTGGTATCGACCCGTTGCACTCAGGGCATACGATACATGTGGCCTTGTACATATCATGGCATACATGATCGATCTGATTAGCGAAGCATATGGGATCTGATTCATTCTTTCTCGCTCAATAGGTGTCTGTGGACACTGTTTCTTGCTGAGAGTTACGCCATGGGACATGGGTAAATGCCCTCTTTTGGCATTCTCCATGTGGAATCGAGCCAGTACCTTATTAATGTAAGTACTCTGGCTTAATCCAATCATCCTCTTAGATCTATACCTGTAGATCTTGATGCCTAATATGTACTGTGCCCCTCCTAAGTCCTTCATTGAAAAGCACTTTCCCAACTAGCCCTTTACGGACTCCAACAATTTTGTGCTGTTTCCAATGAGAAGTATGTCATCGACATACAGGACTAGGAATGCAATATCACTCCCACTGACCTTCTTGTATACATAAGATTCATCTGGATTCTTAATAAAACCAAACTTGCTAATGGCTTCATCAAATCGCTGATTCCAACTTCTGCTGGCTTGCTTTAGTCCATAAATGGATTTCTTCAGCTTGCAAACCTTTCCAGCGTTGCCTGGATCGACAAAACCTTCTGGCTGTGTCATGTACACAGTTTCTTCCAAAATTCCATTAAGGAAGGCGGTTTTGACATCCATTTGCCATATTTCATAATCGTAATATGCAGCAATCGCTAGGATGATCCGGACGGATTTTAACATTGCAACTGGTGAAAAAGTTTCATCATAGTCAATCCCGTGGACTTGTCTATAACCTTTTGCCACTAGTCTAGCTTTTTATATTGATACATTTCCATCCTTGTCTGTCTTCACTTTGAAGATCCATTTGCAACCAATGGGTGTATAACCCTCGGGCAAATTCACCAAGTCCCAGACTTGATTTTCAGACATGGAGTCCATCTCGGATTTCATGGCCTCTTGCCATTTTACAGAGTTGGGGCTCGTCATATCTTGCTTGTATGGCGCCGGCTCATCACCATTCATAACTAGGATGTCCTGATCATCATTTAAGACGATACCGAGGTATCTGTCTGGTTGAGATCTTTGCCGTTGCGACCTACGAAGGGTAATAGGTTGAGCATTTTCATTGTCTGTTTGATTCTGACCAATCTTCTTAGATGCTTCCAAAGTATCTAGATTGTTAGTTTTGTCAGGTTGACATTGTTGCTCGTCCTCTCGAACTTCGTCGAGTTCGATTTTCCTCCCACTTGTCATTTTGGAAAGGTGATCCTTCTCTAAAAAGACACCATCATGAGCAACAAATACTTTGTTCTCGGATTTATTGTAGAAGTAATACCCTTTGGTTTCTTTTGGATATCCCACAAAGAAACACTTATCCGATTTGGGGTGAAGTTTGTCCGAAATTAATCGCTTGACATATGCTTCGCATCCCCAAATCTTGAGAAAAGATAACCTAGGAGGTTTCTTAGTCCATAATTCATATGGAGTCTTTTCAACAGCTTTTGACGGAGCTCTATTCAGTGTTAGTGCTGCAGTTTGTAGCGCATGTCCCCAGAAA